AATTATAGATATGCCCCTATTAAGAGATCTCAGCTGCTACCCTGTTTTATTAATTCATTAACTAAAGGTAGAATTATAGATATGCCCCTATTAAGTAATAAAGAAATAAGGAAAGAGACAAAAGCCCAACTCCTGTCACTTTAAGAATAACAGAAACGTAAAGCAGAAGGCTAACTTTTAATACATATCCTTTTCTTACCCCAAATAACCATCTTCAAAACATAGCTTGTAATTAGGATCAATAGGAGTCTCTCTTAGCTCCTAACTTACCTTTATCCTTGAGAAGATCAAGGATATGTCCTTGTGAAATAAAGATGCCCTTTTGGTATCTAGCAACCTTGATCCTTAAGAAATATTTGATATTTTAAGATTTTAATATCGAACTCTCTGCCTAATCATTTTCTGTAACAACAACATCATCTACATAGAACTCTCTGCCTAATCATTTAATAGTAAAAGACTCACAAATTCTGTTTATGAAGAGAGTATTGAAACATGTGTTTTTTTTTTTTTTATCAATAACTAGCAGATTTTATTAAAATTAGAGAGAAAAAGCACAGGTACAAGAAGAGGGAGATAAAAACAATTACAAGATAGCCCAAAACAAAGAATCCCTAAATACCCCTTGTTTAGCTAACCCATCAGCAAAGGAGTTAGCACTTCTTTTAACCCAACTCAACTTCACCTCAATGTTCTTGGTTAACCAACTAAATTTCCTCTTCTCATTGCTGTAGTTCCAAAAATTAGCAGTACCATTTCTCAGCCAATCCACTGCCAGTTTAGAATCGCCTTCTATGACCAAATTGGTGATATTCAGATCAATCGCCCTTTGAGTTCCTTCAATAACAGCTGAAATCTCAGCTTTAAGAGAATCACCCAATCCGATTGGCCCCGAAAAAGAGCAATTATCACTCCCTCCTCATTTCTTAAGACACCCCGAATACCTGATGGACCTGGATTACCCATGCTACTTCCATCAAAATTAAGTTTAACAAAACCACTAGGAGGAGGAGTCCAAGAAGGTAAGGATGTGTCTTTGACCGGAGCTGAACTTGCAATTTCCTTCCAATTTTTGAGCAAATCATCCACTGAAAAGTCTTTAAAAAGAGCCAAAGACTTCAACCAATGAACCACTCTGATCTGAATCAGCTCCAGAATTTTTAGCAGTCTTCTTTCCCTATCTGAGAAAATTCTCCCATTTCTTTCTTCCCAAATAGTCCAGCAAACAGCAGCCCTGAGACATCTCCACATAACTCTTTCTCTTTTTTTCGACCAGCTAAACAAGGAAGGAGCAAAAAGGCTTTATACATCTGGTGGAGGAGACCAACTGCGTCCAAACAAAGATGAACACCACTCCCAAATGTTATTCGTAACAGAGCAGGAAATCCATAAATGGCAACCAGTCTCACCTTCAGCCTTGCATAGAACACACCAGTGGGGAGATAAACAACTCATAGGCCTCTTTCTCTGAAGGAGACCATAAGTGTTAACTCTATCCAGGATTGCTTCCCAACAAAAACTCCCAACCTTCGGAGGAATTGGTTTGCACCAGACTTCCTTCCGAAAAGGGCTGCCCTAACTGACCCAACGGGTGAACTAAGGCTTTGCTTACTAAGGCTTTGAAATAAAAAGCACAAGAAAAAATTCCAGAAGCTGTTAAAGTCCAGACCCTTCTATCTGATTTAGAGGGATCTAACAAAATACCTTCTAGAATATTAAGAAGAGACAAAGTGCTATTCAGTTCTGACTCCCTAACTACTCTTCTTTTTGATGAATAATAATAAGTTTATTGATTCAACAGCAGATTAGAGTGAGTTCATACATCATCCCAACGAGAGGCGCGAGCTGCAGCCCTTCCTTGAAACTTACAAGTAAACTAGGAAAGAAAAACAAGAATCACAACTGAGCCCAAAATAATTCTTCCCTATTTACCCCTTGCTTAGCTAACACATCTGACAAGGTATTTGCTGATCTCCCTAACTACTCTTCTAAGACCCAAGTTCCACCCAAAACCTGAGGAAGCTTGTGAGGGCACCAAGAAACTAGATATAGGCTTATTTTTCAGATTAGACAAGGCAAACAGAGAAGGGAACTGATCCTTCAAAGGAGAATCCCCAATCCAGACTTCTTCCCAAAATTTAATGAGGTTACCGGAGTGCAAATCGTACCTTGTCCATGGAGTGAAGAGAGGCAAGGAAGCTTGAATAGCTTTCCATGGAGAAGCTAAATATGCCAGATCAAGTTTTGGAAGATTTCTTCTCCCCATAAATTTCATTCCGTAATCTACACACTTTTCCTTGGCTTTAAAGGATTGATATACCAGGTAATAGTTCCATGTATACTTGTAAATTTCAAGGTAGCAGTCTTAAGTAAAAAAAAAAAAAAGAAAAGATCTAACTGATATAGATGGCAAGAGAAATGAGCAAACAAAGACAATTGTTGAGAAAGTTTTTTACTTTATTTATGTTGATGTGCCTTTATTTTCGTTGTAATTTTGTTTTTATATTGCTATAGGGGGTATTTTAGTCTTTTTCCTTTTCCTTTTATTGTAAACAATCACCCTAAGTATAAATAGCAACTAAGGCGTCGCCTGCCTAGAACTTTTGGTGCCTTTTCTCATATCTCCTCTCTTCTTTCTTCTTCCTCTCTAAACCAGAAGCGAAGTTGTTTGTTTAATGGCTACTGAAGACTCTGCATCTTCTAGTATTACTTCCTCTCAAGGAAACCTTAATGGAGGGATGGACAACATGAATTGTTTGATGACTATAACTTCCTTTGATGGGCTGAACTATTTGGAGTGGTCCAAGGGATAAAGGGAATTAAGCTGTATGTTACAGAAAAGGGAAAGGCCGGTTACATGAATGGGAAAATTAAAGAACCAACATCTGGTAGAGCTGAACATGATAGATGGGATCAAGAGAATAGTATAGTGATGTCTTGGCTATCGGGCTCCATGCTATCCCATGTAAAAAAAAAAAAAATTCATGTGGACTGATACAACTTGTGAGATTTGGGAACAAGTAAAGTCAACCTACTCAGAATAGGGACATTATGCTAAGACCTGCCAACTCCAAGCAGAGTCATCTACCTATAAGAAAGGGGACCGTAGTTTATCTACATGCTATTTGCACTTACCTCTGATTGGAAGGAACTGGATCACTATCAGACCATTAAGTGGAAGCATGATGAGGATGCTAAAGCTTACAAGAAACTTGTACCTCAGCAGCAAGTGTTTGCCCTTTTGTTTGGGCTCAATCTTATATATGAGCCCCTTCGGGTATATATTTTGGGAAGTAGTGAAATTCCTTCAGTTCAGGAGGTATATGCCTTGGTTCAATCTAATGAAAGCAGAAGAAATCTAATGAATGCTTCTGAGGGGTAGCAACTGATTGCCTTGGAAGCTAGGAGGGGCAACACTTGAGTGAAGAAGAGTGACTCCAAGAAAGGCAATGACAAGGACAAAATGTGGTGTACACATTGCCAACATTGCCAAAGGCATAGGCACACCCAGGAGACTTGTTGGGAGTTGATTGGGAAGCCCAACTAGGCTACCTAGTATCAAAATACCTCAAAAAAGTCTGCTCAGAAGAAATTTACCTATGCAAATATAGTTACTCAATACTCTCAATCAAATAACTCAACTACTGCCACTTCCCAAGAGCACTCTGTTGGTTCTGACTCTAAGGAAGACATCATTAACTCCTTTAGAGATAACCTAGAGTTATATGGCTGGTCCCTTGGACAGATGGATAGGTCAGCTCTTACCCCTTCTACCTCCTTTGCGTCTACATTAGGTTAAAGTGCTTCTAAATTTCATGTGTCTACCTCAGATCTTGATTCACCTTGGATCATTGACTCAGGGGCTTCTAACCATATGATTGGTAGAGGGATAAAGTGAAACTAGCGGATGGATCTTTCTCTACCATTGCTGGTCAAGGATCTATATCCCTTCCCCATGAACTTGTTTTATCTAATACTCTTCATGTTTCTAAACTCCCTTGGGGAGGACGATTGGTAAAGGAAGCATGGTTGATACACCAACATTTTAAACATTTCCTTGAATAATTGATTTAGGTGCTTTTAATCACATGGCAAGACTTTCCCATTGTTTCATTCTTGTACTCTTTATTCTGAGAGAAAAGGTTTCCATTGTTGGACCCACTGTTTCTGTCTCAGGAAAAGGAAACATTAAGATTCCTGATAACCTTTCTTTTTTGTTATCGCTGTACCAAAATTGAATACAAATCTTCTTTGAATTAAAAGCCATACCAAAGCCATTTTTTTCCTAATCATTGTATCTTTTAGGACCTCATGTCTCAAAAAATGATTGCTAGTGCTTGTGAGGTGAATGGGATATATCTGCTCGATGTGCCTGAGCGAAGCCTACACTTGCACCATCTTGCTTCTTATGAGTCTATTCTTTCTGAATTAGTTGATTGTATTCTTTTATCTCTTCGTTGGTTAGGCCATTTTGCCTTTGTCTTTTGTACATTCATTAGTAGTTGATTGTATTCTTATTCTCTGAGTTGTACATTCATTAGTAGTTGGAAGGGGTACTTTTGTCATTGTACATACTTCATATACAAAATGAAAAATTGGACTGCAAACACATCCCTAAGAGGATTGTCATCCCCTCATTCTTTCTTCTTTCTTTCTCCCTCTCTCTCTTTTTCTTGCTACTGATTCACATCAAATATTTGCAGTTTTTATTTAGATTAAATCTCCAATCTGGTTAAGTTTTGTAAGTATTACAGCACCCAGATAAAATTCATTTTGGCAACTAGGGAAAACATCTCCCAAAAATCATCCCACACATGTTAGTATATGCTTTAGCAACAAGCCAAGCTTTGAAGCTCTCTATGGACCAATTAGCCTTATATTTTATACATCTTTTTACAGCCCACATTTTTTTAAAATCTTGTAGAAGTTTCACCTACTCCCAGGTCTGATTTTCACAAGTTCTTCTATCTACTGAGTCATAGCATCCCTCCATTGAGGAGAAGAATTCATTGCTTTGGTAATATTTTTGGAAATAGACATGGAGGAAACAACAAGGAAAGCAGAGATGGAGATAGAGAATAATTGAATAAAGGATAAGAAAATTTGATGTTGATTGAGTACATTGCCTTTTTCCCTTGCATAAGGCAATGCGTATGTTTATGACTACAGTAGTATCAACTAAATTCAGAGGACCATTAGAAAAAAGAATAATTAGAGTTGGCAGAAAGGAATAATACTAATTACCTGGAAAATCTGAACTAACTTAAGAGGAAATACTGTCTTGTTTAATTTTGCAAACCTGAGATTTGTAAGTGGTATTGGAGTTACAATCAAATTAGAACTTCCTATGAGATGTGAAAATAATTATAAAAAGCTAGTAATATTTAAAGAGAAAATTATAGATGGCTAGACCCCTAGACCTAATTGTTCCTTGCACCTAGGTCAGTGTTATAAAGAATCTCTTTTTGTCTAAATTATTAATAATGTTTGACCTGTTGCTGTATATTTGAACTTTCTCCAGGAGCCAACTTCCCTTCGACTAAGTAGTCACCAAGTGGGTCTTTTGCTTTCATCAATTTGGGTTCAAGCAACATCTGCAGAAAACACCCCGGAAAATTTTGAAGCAATGTCTCATACATATAGCCTTGCTTTATTGTTTTCTCAATCCAAGGTGAGGTTTCTTCTGATATTAATTACTTCCAATATGTTAATTCATAAATTTTTAGGTTTTTCTCTGATCAGAAATCTTAAGTGTCAGCTCTAGTTCATCATCCAGTGATATCCCCGATGATCATTCTGCAGACATGTATATAAAATATAGATTATTTTTGTTTATGCTTTTTAATGAAACCCTTTTTTCAGTGTAAACTTTTCCTCTCATAGCATTGTATTTGAAGTCATTCCATGTAATTGCATAATGGATTATCATACTCATGACAGACATCCAGTCATGTGGCTCTTGTTCGGTGTTTCCAGCTGGCGTTCTCACTCAGAAGCATTTCTCTCGAACAGGAAGGTGAAATGAATTGCATGGTTCATGCTTCCTCTTTCACATATTAATATAAAAAAATTGAAAACTAAGTTACTGATTGAGTAAATGTTAAAGATGGTTTATTGGCAAAATAATAGTAAAAATGGTTCGCATGCAGGGTAGTGGTACTAATAATGCCTCTTTACTTCATTGTAGATCGCAAAACTACAATTTATTTCCTGATTTTCTAAAACAATAAAGTGTATTGATATGGATATGAGGTTCATCTGATAGGATCTCTTCTTTTTCTTTGCAAATCTACTAGGTAGGTTAATTGAATGCTGTTTTCCTAAACTTGGTTGATCTCCATTTGTGCCAGTTTACTACAAACTTTATCCATCCATATAATCTATGTAATAATTACCTTAGATTTGAGTCCCTTTGTTACCAAAACAGAAGTTACTTTAGACTTGCATTTTTCCAATATACCATATTGGCAACGTTCATATGCATGCTTTAATATATGCTTGTATATGTACTATGTTTTTTTTTTTTTTTGCTGAATCGCTTTTACAGGAGTATTTGATCAAAATTGAATGGGGGTTCTTTTGTTTTTTCTTTTTCTTTCTTGTAGAACAAAGACAATTAGGGTAGTCTTTTAGAAGGCTGGTGATGGTTTCTAGGTAAATTCCAGGTGTCAAGTGTCAGTGTTTCTTTTTCTCTTTAGGGTTTAAGATGGATTATCATAATAGACACAGAGACACAAGCTTATCTGTATATTTACATGCTTGTGCATGATATAGATTAGACTGCACAAAACATATCCTTGAGAAAATTTTAGAGGTAAATAAAGAAAGGCATATGTGCATATGTTCAAGGTTTTAGAATGACAGTTCTGTTAGAAATGTTGTTGCTTAAAAATAAAAAAATATCAGAAATTTCATGGATCTATTGTAAAAACTCTAAAACATTGTAAATATTAAACTATAAAAGGGTATAAATAATTATATCATCTGAAGTGATAAATATGCTTTTAAAATGATTATACCATTTCAAGACGATCGCTTCCTCCACTTAGAATCAGTATTTTCAAGCTATTATTGACCTATCTGGTCAGTCCGTGCCTGGTTCTGGTCAACCTCTAATCCACCATATTACAAAAAACAATGACTTGGTGATCATGGGTTAACCTGTTCAATGGATTGCCTTTTTTTATTTTTTTAGTCATGATGACATCATGGGTTAACCTGTTGACCTGGATGATTAAACTAGTGACCCATTGACCCAAATGGAAAAGCAACATAATCTCATATTAGGTTTTAAAACATTGCTTAGACTAAATTTAAGGTTTTTAAAAGGAATTTTGACAAAAGAAATAACAAAATTTTGAGTTAACAAGATCAATAATGTTTAAATCCATGGTTACTAAATAATTTGCCTAGATGCTTATTTTGATAAGCTAGAATTCCATCCATAGCTGCTAAATGAGAATTCCTTGTTGCATGCATGTACTTGCTAACAAGAACTGCATAAGAGATGTTAGGTCTAGTCATACACAAGTTGGGCAACCAGTCAACTAACCTCTAATAACCAAGGTTTTTAAAACTGACCTAGAGACCGAACCGGTCAGGGGTCCGGTTCTCAAGTCAAACAATCTGACCGTTCGAACCGAACGGTTGGCTTGTTCGGACAAAAAAATAAAAAAATTTTAAAAAAATAAAAAATAGTCAAAACCGTTGAACGGTTTGAACAATTGAACCATCTGGGTCAGCGGTTTGCTGACCAAATCAACGGTTTTTTGCAAAAATCCGGCTTTGGGAAAAAACAGAACCGGTCACCTGACCGATTCTCAGTTTTTCTGGTCCGACCGTCCGGTCCGGTCCGGTTTTGAAAACCATGCTGATAACCATGACTATCCTCAAGAAAATCTCTCTCAGAAGTCAGAACAACTAATTCTATAATTTTGATCAATATCTACAGGTTTAATTCCCAACTTATTTTTCTCTTTAATATGTTACATATTTGCATTGGGAAGTAAATATCCCATGTTTTGCCCTAGCAACTTCGATGCCCAAGAAATATTGGAGCTCCTCAAGATCCTTAACCTCAAACTCTTGATGCAAAAACAATTTCAACTCATCCACCTTAGTAGGTTCATTACCTATAACCACTATATCATCAATATAAATAATAAGAGCAGTTAACAAATAACCCTTTCTTTTTAGATAGTATGATCCCATTGTCCTTGAATATACTATAACCACATTAGAGCTCCTCTAAGCTTATCAAACAATGCCCTGTGAAACTACTTCAGTCCATATTGTCATTATTCTATGCTAGTGAATGGGACAATGGTGGATTTCTTTCCAGCCACTAGGGGTATAAGACAGGGGGATCCTCTATCTCCCTTTCTACTCACTCTGGTTGTTGTTCTGGGGAGACTGATCCACAGAGCAGATTCTAGGAGCCTCATAAGAGGATGGAGACTTGGAGGGGTGGAAACCCCCTTACCCACTTATAGTTTGCAGATGACATGATTCTGTTTTGTGAAGGAGGAAACTTGAGGTACATTAGGAACATGAAATTGGTGATACAACTCTTTGAGAAAATGTCCAACCTAAAGGTGAATTTTGAGAAAAGTTGTTTAATGGGTGTGAATTTGGAGGATAGAGAGATTAGGGAAAGTGCAAAATAGTTGGGTTGTGAAGTTTCAGGATGGCCATTGAATTACCTAGGGATGCCTTTGGGTGATAACCCAAAGAAAGAGGGTTTCTGGAATCCAGTGGTGGAAAGATTTGAAAAGAGACTTGTCTCTTGGAAGAAGAATCGCCTTTCCCTTGGAGGGAGGATTACACTGATTAGCTACTCTAGCCAACTTATCCATTTATTTCCTATCAGTGTTCAAAATCTCAGCAGAGGTATCTAACAGATTGGAGAAGATGATGAGAGATTTTCTATGGGATCCGAGAGAGGAAAAGAGGGACCATAGGGTGAGTTGGGAGGTGGTGACCAGGAGCAAAAACCTAGGTGGTTTGGGGCTTGGGAATATCAAAAAAAGGAATTTGGCCCTCCTGGGGAAATGGCTGTGGAGATTCCCATTAGAGAAGGAGAGACTATGGGCAAAAGTAGTGGTAAGCATACATGGGCTAGAGCAAAATGGATGGGATGCTGGAATCTGAGCTAGGACCACAAGTGCATCACCTTGGAAAGCCATTCATGATCTGCTTCCAACTTTATCCCCTCTCATCAGGTATGATTTGAACTCAGGTAACTCCATAAAATTCTAGGAACAAACATGGGTGGGGAATGCCCCTCTTAAGGACCTATTTCCTTCCTTGTATGCCCTATCTAACTTGAAGAATGAGCCAGTTTCTTCTTTCATTACCCCCTCATCTTCCTTTTTTGGGTTTGGGTGGAATTTGGGCTTGAGGAGGGTTGTGAGAGACTCAGACCTTGATAGTATTTCGAGTCTCCTTGGACTCCTTGATAATGTTTTCTTGGACCCTGCTAAGTTGGATTCTACAATCTGGACCCCCACCCCCACTTTCTGGTCGTGATAAGATTACCCTTGTCGATGGCTTTCTTGCTCCCATCTCTGGTAAGGGAGTCACCAAGGCCATCGACTCCCTTTCCCTTGCTTTTGTCCTTCATGTCCCTAAGTTGCACACTAATTTGATGTTAGTAAGCAGCCTAACTAAATCCTTAAACTGCAATATAACTTTTTTTCCATCTTATTGTGTTTTTCAGGACCTAAAGTCTCAGAAAGTGATTGGAAGTGGCCATGAGGCAAATGGAATATATCTACTAGATACTCCTGGACAAAGCCAAGGATAGCTTGAGAGAGTTGCTTTTGGGTCTACTTCTTCTGAGTCTTTTAGTCGTGTCATAATATGTCATTTTCGTTTGGGTCATTTATCCTTTTCTGCTTTGAGCCATTTATTTCCAAAGTTGTTCAAAGGAATTAACATGTCTAGTCTTCATTGTGAGTCATGTTCGTTATCAAAACATTGTAGAAACACTTATTCTTTGAGTAATAAGAGATCCACTTTTCCTTTTCATATTGTACACTCTGATGTGTGGGGGTCGTACCACTTGCCTTTTATGGGTGGCTATCGATATTTTATCTTGTTCATTGACGGTTTTTCTTGGTATACTTGGTGATTTTTTATGAGATCTCGTGATGAGGTTCCCAAACATGTGAAACATTTCCATGAATTTGTCCTTACCCAATTTGATACAAGAATCAAGATATTTTGGTCAAATGGTGCAAAAGAATATTTTGAGAAACTCTCACTTCTTATCTAACTGACTTTGGGGTTATCCACCAGAGCTTTTGTATTTGTATTCCAGAACAAAATGGAGTAGCTAAGAGGAAGAATCGTCATATAGTTGAAGTTACAAGGAGCATTTTATTTGCTTCACATGTTCCTACAAAGTTTTGGCGGGATGCTGTTCTCACAACAACATACCTAATCAATCGTATGCCATCCATAGTTTTGGGCTTTAAGTCTCCTTTTAATCTTCTTTATCCAAAGAAGGAGCTTTTTTCTCTTCCCTTTCGCGTCTTTGGCTGTAATGTACACATTTCTAGTACCCAGAGACATAAGTTTGAACCAAAAGCCCATAAGTGCATTTTCTTTGGTTATGCCTCCACACAGAAGGGTTATTGTTGCTTTGATCCTAGTAGTGGGACTCGTTTTGTCTCAATGGATGTCACTTTTGCTAAGTCTATTCCTTTCTATTGGTTCATCTCAGGGGGAGTATTTGTCACAATTGTTTGCACTCCCCCTTTCGGTTCCTGTTGAGTCTTCTTCACTTAAGTCTTCTTCACTTAGGTCTTCTTCACTTGAGTCCAAAGGGGAGCAATCATCCCCTAGTCCCTCCACTATTCCTATTTCTCCACCATTGCCTCCTCATCCTCCTACTATTCACAGGTGGTACTAGCAGCAAAAGACCAAGAGTGAGCAAATTGTTTCTCCAACATCACATGAGCCTCCAACACTTCCAGTTACTAGAGAGACAACAGGTGTTGAGCTCACAACCTT